TTGAACCTAGGCTGCATAATGAGCAAAGACGTAAAGACTCATTCCAGTTGTTACCAGCTGGTGTATTGGACGCAGCAACCACTGAGTCATGTTTTGCTCCCAGGCCCAAGCCAGTGAGAAACAGAAGGCAGAGCCCCTGCTGGCTTTCACTCAGGGTAAACCACTGTATCCACACAGAACCCCTGTGGTCCTAGGTAGAGAATTTAGAGATGGTCTGCAATTTGAACCATGAAATAGTCTTCCATTCTCAAGGTGAAGAAAAGTGAGAAGCAGAACTATTGGGCAGCTCATCCAAGCTTATATATCTGGCTAGTGGTGAGGCCTGGGCAAAGAAAATTGAGGACCCTGGTCCCACCTAGATTCCCATTATCTTTTGATCTCTGATCCTTTATTTTATGAAGCAGAGTCGCATAGAAATCAATGGACATTTTAAAAGTTAACACAATGCTTTTGAACAACTTGGGGCCTAGGCATGTGGCCTAAAAAACCAAGTAGCTCTACAGTAGATTTGGGGAAGAAATGGTCAATTTAGTTAAGAGTAAAAACAAAGATATTCCAGTTGGGAGAAATGACATTTATAAAAGTATATGAAGATGATAAAACAGTGTGTCTGTGTATGTGTGTGTGTTGGTGGGTGAGGTGGGGTGGACCACTCCCAGGGACCCCATGATCAGTAAATGGAATCAGAAAGGGGCTCCAGTGGAGCGGCTGGGGCCCGAGTATTGGAGGAGGCCGCTTTATCCACACTTAAACAATATCAAGGCTGAGTTCACATCTTAGTGATATCCAGTTTTTCTCAAAATGTTTGATTTCTGTCTGCGCGCACGCACGCGCGCGCACACACACACACACACACACACACAGCTCTATCTTCAGCTATTTGAAGCATTTTTGCTCTCTGCAGGAATTTCTGGGAGTCAAACTGTTACAAGTGCTCACAGCGGGAAAAAGAAAGACAGAATTGGTCTGGAGATTGCTGCCTGAGGTTGAGGCTGAGTTACGTTAAGGGATCATCTCACCATCTATGTGCCAAAGGAGAGTTTGGCAGTTTGGGTCCAGCTGCTGCCCAGGCCTTGTGCATGGCTCGCAGGGTCCTGATCCTCACAGTCTTCGATGTCTGCCCACAGGGCACCACCACCATCTCCTAGCTCAGGTCACAGCTTCCTGAAGGCCGTACTTCTTCTCTCTTGATTTATTTCCAAACTTTGTAAGCAGAGTTGCCATCAGATGTCAAATACCCACTCCTGGCTTTGCATGGTTGATAGTGCAAATCCGTCAGCCTGGAGTCAGGCAAAGAGAAAGTTGGTTGTTTAACGAGTGAAAAGGCTCATGGTTGGGAACTGGCATGTGTCTGAATAAGCACTCACCTGCCTTACCCACTGGTCGTGGCACAGAGAGTCTGCATTTCCTTTCACCACTAAGTTCCAGCCACTCAGTGCTCTGATGAGCACGTGAGATGCACAGGTCCATTCATGGTGATTGAGATTTCTTTCACAGAAAGCTCTCTCTGCCAGGTTGTTCACTGAAAGACCCCAAATGGTCAGGTAAAGCCCTTCATGTAAAGAAAGATGAACTTGAAAATACAGCCTCTGTAGAAGTTTTCTATAGAGGCTATATCATTTCTTGGGTAGGGCCATGTTTTTGTTCTTTAAATTTTTAACACAAATATTAAATCTATGAATATGTTGGGTAGTCTCTGATCATGGGACCTAGATGTTTATATGGCATTATGTTGTGGAAATCTTAACAGGTTTATTTTGCTCAAAGATTTGAGAACTATAGAGCATGAAAGTGCTAAACATACATCAAATCCTTTCCCAAGACTGCATTTCCAGCCTTTATCCTTTACAACAAAGGGTAGTTCAGAGTCCAAAGAGGTGCACATATTTTGGGCATGTTTTCTGTCAGCAGACTCTCTATAGATTTCCTGTATTCTCAACATAGACCACTGAGAGATTTGTGAGTGGGTTTCAGAAGGGTCTGTGAGTGCCTGGTATTTGTGCAGAGCTCTAGGTTATGTGTGTTTGTGCATTTTTTTGTGGGAAAAGGGTCTAAATTTCTCACCAGACCTTTAGAACCTATGTTCTACCCAAAGTTAAAAACTACTGTCCTTAATAACTCTTCTTGTTAATTACACAAACATCTCCAGCACAAGAAAAGAAAGGGATGGACAATCAGTGGGTCCTGATCTACCTCTTCGTTTTTGGCTTAATAGAACCTGAGCCCTTTATGGACCCCTTTTGATTGCCTTCCTGCTGACTCTGGTCATCTAAATTGCAGTAGGTGTCCACATTAACTTCTTGCATTGCCCTCTATACATTTAAAAAGATGTGCTAACTTACTAAAACATATACATATTCTGTATCTCATCCCTGCTTCTTTCTCTATGAACTACTTGGAATGCCAGCTCTAAATTAGTGGATCACTGACAAGACAGAGAATAAAACAAACCAATAATCTGATGGTTTCTTGGTGCCAAAAGCAGGACATAATATGATGAAGTTACATGATCTATTTTGGAGGGCATGGAAGGAGAGAGAGAGAGAGAACTACAATGACTAGTATGTTTGTGAACTTGTGAACCTGCAAGTCACTGGAGAGGAGGACATTCATATACTCAAGAGGACGTTTGTTATTTATACTTGTACCTACCATTAGAAATACATGAAAAGAGATCAAACATTTGGAAAGATTAATACTTTATTTTCTTTCTGGTGGTCAGAAATTGAAAACTGCTAATGCCTGAAATAGGAGAGCAGCAAACCATGGTGAAAAGTCGATTGAAGAGAGCTTAATGTGGCTACTTGCTCGGCCTCCAAAGCACTGAAGTCTGCTGCTCTTAATTCTGTCCAGAGTCAGTCTGTGAATAATTATATTAAAGAATTAGGCAATGTCATCACAGAGCTACAAAATATCACCCAGGAGGCCTCATTGGAGACTGATGGGAACTCTGGAGAGTTGATAATGGCGATCAAAGGCTCTATATATTTAAAATGCACAAAGGATGAGTCCAGAAATTATCTGCCTGCCAATTTAACTTCTCTACCTGGAACAAATTATCCAAAAATCAATTTGCAAACACCTTTGAGATAACAAGGTCTTGAGTAATAACCTCCATGGCTTTCTAAAGAAAAGTACCTAGCTTGACTAATCTCCTTAATTTCCCTCTCTGGCCAACTGGCAGGCTATAATAGAGGCAATCTGAAGTTGTCCCTTAAGATTTGCTCTGAGTCACACTGAGAAAATATTGTCCATCCCTGTTTTATGGCAAATTAATCTGTTTCTGGAGAATCTTCACTACTAGGTAATTAATTAGAAGAAAAATGCTGAATAAATCTCTATCCCAAAGCCCTCACCTGAGTTCCAAACAAAAACTCATATATGCCTTCCTCCATGTGATTATTCCAGAGCCTCGCCAATAGTAACAAGTTCTTAAATAAATCTACAGTGTATTGCACCTCCAAATATCTCCCTCACTCTACTATCTTATTTTACTTTAGGAATCAATGACTTATTTATACTTTTTGATAGATAATCCCATTCCTGGCGTTTGTTCCCAGAACATATCAAATAAGAAAGACTAAAATCATTGGCACAAAGATGTTCATTGCAGCATTATTTACCATAGCAAAATTTAGAACAGCTCATGGGTCCAATGATTGGACACCGATTAGTGTGATAACTTGATGGACTGTCCTGTAGTTACTAAAGACAGTGATAGAAAAGTCTCTTTAGTTTATAAACAAAATCCGTAGTGTCTTTGTAACTTTCCTATTCCTAGGACAAAATATACAACATTCACAATTTAAAGGAGGAAAAGTTTGTTTTGGCTCATGGTTACAGTCTTTATTCCATTTAGCTCCGAGGTAGAATGCCATGGTGGAAGGACATGCTGGCAAGGATAGCTGCTCATTTCATGGAGGCCAGAAAGCAGAGGGAGAAGGAAGGAGCCCATGGAGGAAGATTTACCCTTCCAGGTCACATCCCAGGGACCTGCCTCTTTCAACCAGGCCTGACTTCCCAACAGCACACTTATCTGCTGGACTCACCAATGGATGCATCCTGGTTATCTGACCTGGGAAGGCATGCGGACATGGGCTTTGATCCTGCATTATTACCTGTCCTATGCACGGCCTTGGTTGGTGACCTGGTCTTTTGGGTTTTCACATTTTTATCCAGTGACATGGAGGTGGAAGTGTTCCAAGAATTGTGTGGAATTTCCTGGTATATAAGAAATATCAAAGAAGTACCTCATTTCTCCTGCTTTTCCAGTAGGTAAAAGATAGCCAGAAAGTAGTCACTGCAAATACCTGTTGCAATTCTGGTCCTTTTAGCTGACTAAATGGAACTTACTGGAAAGGAGACAGCAATGCACATCAGATACTAGATATCTCATCAGGACTTTTTCTTTGACCCTTAGTTCCTACCGGCTCCACTCTGGTCAGTGATACTCTGTCTGCTGGAAAAAAAAAAAAAAAAAAAAAAAAAAAACCTATCAAGTGAAGGAAGAAGCTGAATTCTTGCTGTACATCATTCTTTTTCTACCTAAACTTATATCACCACTGGGGGGAGGGAGGCTTCCACTAACATGTCTGCATTCTAATATAGAAAATGTTTATAACGTCAGACTCCCCTGGATTTTGAGCCAAACTTCACCTTAGTAAAGGCGAATTCTCCTTTGGGGGTAGAAAGCAGAGTATTGCCTTAGACAGATTGCTATGGTTTGGAAAAAACATCTCCTCACATTGCCCTTTTTTTCTTTTCTTTCTTTAAATGAAAGAACCATGGTAGGTGTTGTCTGAAGTTACTGAAGAAATACCAATTCATTTATTTACAGACAAAATCTTGGCTATTGAAGCAGAATGTGAATGGGGCTAATCATGAGATTTTGGCCATTTTTTATGGTTATGTCTGGAATTCTGTTCCTTAACCTCACATGCTTGAATTCTGCTCTGTAAAACATTTAAGACTGAGCCCTTTGCTTTTTGCTTGCCTTGCAGAGCCTCCCACACCCATTGCGCCTCCAGAGCTGCTGGCTGTGGGGGCCACCTACCTGTGGATCAAGCCAAATGCCAACTCCATCATTGGGGATGGACCCATCATCCTGAAGGAGGTGGAATACCGCACCACCACAGGCACCTGGGCTGAGACCCACATTGTCGACTCTCCCAACTATAAGCTGTGGCATCTGGACCCTGATGTGGAGTATGAGATCCGGGTGCTGCTTACAAGACCAGGCGAAGGGGGAACAGGACCTCCAGGGCCTCCACTCACCACTAGGACCAAGTGTGCTGGTAAGAGCCTCCTTAAGTGAAATTCCAGGGCCAGTTGGGGGACTGAGCATTGCTGTGACTGGTCCTCCTTTGGTCTTCTGGTGACAGGTTGTCTATACATTTTTTTGATGTGAGTGTGCTTCCTATTATAGAGTCAAACAGGTAAAGTTTTGGTCCTCCTTAGAGGACCTTCTGGTTCTGACTGTAACTCTGAGACTCTCTTTACTTTAGCTGTATTATGGAGGATGTCTTCAGCTGTTTCTGACAATTTTTACATGGGACACTAGCTCTGTAGCTGTGGCTGTGAGGACTCCTGGCACCATTTGTAGTCTGAGGCTTTCTAGTGCTAATAGAAAGGTTCTGTGTCTCTGAGGGCTGTTGGTTCTGTTTCTCTGTGGGCTCTTGGCCTTGTCCGCCCTAAAGGCCTCATGTAGACGACACTCCTGTTGGTTTCTGGTTCTAGGTATGTATCTTACATGTATCAAAATCCAGCTTTATCCCTGAGGATCTGTGAGTGGGAAGGTGACCCTTGGAGTTGGTCATTTTGCTTATGGTCCCCAGTTCTAGTTTTGTCTCTGTGGGACTCTGGGTAATAACTTTGTCTTCAGTGCCTCCTGGCTCTGACAGTGTCTCTAAATTGATTCTAGAACTACCTTAGTCCCTCCAAGCTTCCTGGCTTCATATCCTCTGGGTGCTCCTGGTTCCTACCTGAGAGTCTGAGCTGGGAATGTTACTCTGAGGGTCCTCTGGATTCTGCTGAGTTTCTATGGGCTTCTGGTTCCAACTGCTGCACTGACGTTTCTGGATGCTGCTTAAGAGTTTGCTGGCTGGGGTTGCATCTGGGAAGATTCTTTGGATCCAGCTGTATCTCCGAGGCTTCCTGGCTTTAACTCTGTTTCTAACGAGAGGGTTTTGGCTGGAACTGTGTACCAGAGATGGTCTTGGCTCTGAATTTCACTTAAAAATTAAAAGAAGTTCATGTTTATCTTTTGGAAATCACGTCGTCTATTTCTTTTACTCTTACCATTCGCTGTAAGTACTTTTATGTCATATATACATGAAAGAATAGAGGCTCAGTATTTTAAAAGTTTTTGTCTGAAGTTAGTATTAGCCAGTGCTATAGTCAAGATTTGCTCCCAGGTTTCCTGAATGTAATGACTGTTCTTTGGTCAAATCACAATAAATAAATAGAGAAGTAGATGCTGTTGGCATGGTACACAGAGAAGAAAGAGGAGGTACTGATGGATTCTGGGGTGCAGGTAAAGTGTGTGTGTGTTTATAAAGAATCCATCAGTAGAACAATATGGAACAAAATGCAAAGTATGTCAGTTCTATTATAACTGAAATATGTGTGCCTAAAACACACTGTAGCTTCATGAATTATGCCATAAAGTTGTGGGCTCATGAGAAGAAATGGGACAAGAGGCACCCATACTTACCCATTAACACATGCAAAAGAAAAGACCTGAGCAAAAAAAAGTAGTACAGTTTTACACGTGTGAAATAGCTAAGAAATTCATAAATATTACAATACACATAGTAGATACCTGGAAAAAGACCTGAGGTTTGCAGCCTGTGAGTTACTATGAAGTATTGGAAGAAAGGTCATTTGAAGTTGGTAGATGTACCACCATGTATGAATGGGTGTGGTTTATAACACATGTTGCAAAACTGAGGGAGCAGGCAGATGTTGGAGGGATGTGTGCTTTTTTGTGTATTTTTATATGGCACAGTTCAGCTGGGTATAGTTTTTCACATCACTATATAAAAACTCACATAAGTGAATGTAGAATTCATGTTACACCTAAATTAGTTCCTCATAGATCAATTTGGGAACAAATAGGAGTTTTCAAAACAAATGCCATTGATTGTTGGATGTGTGGTTCTTGCCTATAATTGTAGCTACGCAGGAGGCTGATGTAGGATAGATACATATATTTATCAGTAGTAGAATGCCCTTGGATTCAATCCCTAGTACTGAACAAAACAAAACCGAACAAAACGTTCTGCAGCACTTGACTATATCCATTTCTAAGTATCTCAGTAGTTCATCCCACAGTATGTAAGTCAATGATAGTATTTCCATGGCTTGGAAATATCCTTTGAAGGCTGTTGAACCACTATGATGAAGAGAGATGGCATTTCCTTGATTATTTTCAAAATAGGCCCTTGGTAAAATTTCTCATTAAAACCTGATTATGAAACTTACTATTCTAAAAGGCGATGAGGGTATGTTATGAAGCCAGGTAATACCTGCAATGCAATAGTCATCCCTAAAATAATTGATTTGATCCTGCTGATGAGACTTGTCTCTTTCCACGAGGTAAATGTAAGGATTTTCAGGGGTTTTAATCTTTATAAATGATGTTTAGAGTACTTTAGCTGCCCCTCTGGACTTAGTTGCTGATGATCTCATAATACATTTTGAAATTCAATCACAAGATGATCATCTCAATAAAAATTTACAGTCTATTGCAAACGGTTGTCATGACTATGGAATGGATTTTGCATGTTGAAAACACAATAGTCTATCACTATAAAAATTATGACTTAGAGTGCTGTTTGTGGGATTATATTACAAGAAACGTTGGTGTTTAAGTAAGTTACAGCTCAAATCTTGAATAACTCACATTCTGCAAAAGGTGCATCAAGAAAATAATCTTCTTTCTCCCATTTCCCCTACTGGCAGAATGTTCTTTGCTTTGTAATTAATTTTTAAGAGAATTCTAGGGCTGATATCCATTTGTGGATGCTCTTTGCTGGCAAACACAGTCTGAAATTTTGTCCCTTTCCCTGTTCTATTATTAATCACTCTGGAAATGTACTCATTATTTTGCAAAACAGAAAAGGGGAACATGGAGTGTGGAAGGTATAATTTCTGCCCAGAGGAATTTACAGGCTGGGTTAAAACTCCAGCAAAGCAGCAAAAAGGGTAAAACATAAACAGAAAGTCAAATATTGAAAGACATACTTTGTGGAGGAAAACAAGGTCAATATGCAAAGAGCAATGTTCTTAGACTCACCTAGAGCTGTTTTTGTCAGAGTGTGGTTCCTGGTCTCTAGCATTCTGTTAGTATTGCTAGAGAATGAATTTTCCACCAAAGTTCATGTGTTTGAACCCAATCCTCAGTGTGATGATATTATGTGGTGAGGGCCTGCAGAAGGTGATTAGGTAAAAAATGGGATTCCTGTAGTTATGAACGAGACTCAGAGAGCTTCCTCACTCCTTTTCCATATGGGGACACAGTGAGAAGTTGTCTGGAACACTGAAAGTAGATCTACACTAGACATCTAACTTGCTAGTGCCTTAACATTGTATTTGCTAACCCTCCAGAACTGTAAAAAACAAATTTCCATTACTTAAGAGTTACCCATTTATGCTGTCCTGTAACAGCACCCTAAACAAGTTAAGACAAGTATCACTCCGAAACTTGTTAGAAATGCAAATTCTCAGACCTGGTCTCCTAATTTGGTACATCAGAGATTCTCAGGGTTAGGCTTAGAAACTTCAGAGTAATGCTGCTACACACTGAAATGTAAGAGCCACTGATACACTATGACACAATGACATGTTCCCTCGGTGACAGATGGGAGGAAGACTGAGACTCAGAATTATTGGGTCAAGGTCATAAATCATTTAAGTGCTTAGAGCTGTCTCTAGGTAATAACCATGGTCTCTAAACTACATGGTTTGATGGAGTGTTAATTAATCCTGAGGAATTCTGCTCACAAGTGTTCTCTTGAGGGTGGGATTTGATGTTAACTGTGGAGACCAGCTGAAAATGAAGGTCTGTGTCAGTCCTTTTCATCATACAATTACTGACCATTCTCTGTGTGCCACACTTTGTGTTAGGCACTGGTGGCAGAGTATAGTTTACCAAGGACATTGTAAGATCAGGCAAAGCGTTGGCAGAAGTGTTCCTCAAGTTGATACCAGGAGCCAGTTAGCAAGGCTAACTGGGGCTGTTCAATATTCTGTTTCTACCAGATGTGATAAATCATGGATCAGGTCAGTCTCTAGGACATCAGGAGCAGTGTCCAATCCTTAAGGGAGAACAAGTCAATAGTTTGGCTATAGGGCATCCTATCCTATCCTATCCTATCCTATCCTATCCTATCCTATCCTGGCATTCAGAGCAAGACTTCTAGCCAATTACACTGGAACCTAGACAGGCTCATATACGAATCCAAAAATGTGAGGATGGGAGAACGGAGTCTAAAATGACATCTTAGGCTTCTGGTTTAGATGATGAGAGATGAGTGGTAGAATCACATTCTGAGATATTGGACAGAGAATGAATTCAGATTTGAGTCTGTTGTGTTGAGCTGAAGGTGAGTAGGAAGTAATGGATATATATACATCTTCAGCTCAGGAGAGACTAGCAGATTTCCTTTACCTTTGAGAACTGCATGATTTCACCTGGACTTCAGGATGAAAGGGACTTCTTAGTACTGATGAAAGCAATTTAATTCACTGTCTTCATGTTATTCTCTTGAAATGCTTCATTCATTTTTTAAATTCATCATTTTGTTCCCTCTCTTCGCTTTAATCATTCATCATCCTTCCTGAGATACAGGCCTGGAGGCAAAGGCAATAATGTATATCAAAGTGCTTTGAAAAGCTCAAAATGCTCTTTAGATGCCCATAATGAAACAGATCATTATTTGTTGCTGCTATTGTTATGGATGTTATGATTATGAATTGTTATATCAAAATAAGTCTTACTTTTCCATGTATCTTGACTGACTGACCTAGAAGGTAGGCCTTAGTTGTTTTTCATCGACCCTTGGGAAATCCTGTTTCAGAACATGATGTTCACGTTGTGGTCTGGCTCTCAGAAGTTTTCCTGTCTACAGCATTATATGATTCCTTCTAGCACATCCCCAACTGCAAACGTCCTGGGAGGTCCACAATGACTGATCTGAAGCCTGCCTCTATTGGACAATTTGCCCTCTCCATCCCAGACCATTTTGCTGCTGGAATTCTTGAATCCATTTTCTCTACTCAGAGTTAGCTTGAT